AGGTAGTCTTCCCACCACAGTAGAGGCCCGTACCTGGGTCTGCTCATCGATTTCCTTCCGGATCCGGTCCCCGAGCACAATGAGCACGGACACGGCCATCTGCACATCACCCTGCTCGGCATAGAAAAGCAGCATGTCCCGCACGATGGGGCTGAAGAAGTCTGGGGGCAGGCGGTTCTCATAGAGCGAGTGAGAGATGGAAATGAGGGAGAAGGATTCCACAGGGGTCAGGGACACGGTCTCAGCCTCATTGCCACTGACATGAGGAGAGTCAGCCTTCTCCTGCAGGTGGTCCAGGGCAGAGGGGTTGTCCACAATCTCATGACGCAGAGGAAAGGCCTCCTGGGGTAGGATGTACTCCTGCTCCTCAGCTGCAGAGACAGGAACCATGAGTCTTCTGAGAGTGGGGTTCATGCCACTGAGAAAGGAGTCGAGGAGGGACCTGGTATGCAAGCATGCAGACACACACGCATGTGCATGTACTCACCATGGGGATTCTCGTGGTCCATCATGTACAGCTCATCCTCATCTCCCTCCACATCCCCCAGAAGATAGTCTGCAGGGACATCACTGCCCTCAGTCTCCTCATTGTCTAGATAATCCAGGGAAAGAAGGAAGGAGAAGGAGCAGAGCAAGATGGGTCAGGGAATCCCTATAGAAGCAGAGTCTGTCGCAGATTTTCCTCACATCATTTCAGCTGCAACCCCAGGCTGCTTACCACTGGCCACAGCCCAACTGTCTAACTCATCAAGCCAGGCCCCTGCCCTCACACACAGCAACGGGAACTAAAGCCACACGCTGAAGATACAGACATAGTGCTCTGTACAGTGACAGCACCAGTCTCCAAGTTCAAACAAGTAGCAACCAGCATCAGCTCTGCTTATGGGGGAACAGGGAGGGCTGAGGCACAGATCTGGAAGCGACTTCCCACAAGTCAGGTAGCATGTCCTATCTCCTAATTCCCTGCTTTAAACTTCTGGTCTCCCAAAGGCTGGCAACAACCTGCCCCACACTCCAGGGGACACCCTTGCATCAGAACTAGGCCAGTTATCTGCAGTCTTCTGCTTCACAAAGCAGCTGCAATTTGGCTGGAGCTCTGTAGGGACTGGGTTCCGTAGGAGAAGGAAAACTACCCCAAAGGGCTGACAGCCAGTCAGGACTGATGGAGTCAAAGAAATATAGGGCCATGGGGACCTCAAGAGGTCAGTTAGCCCATCCCCCACTCAAGGCAAGAGCATCCCTGTCTAAACCATCCTATGCATCATGTGAGCCAGCCACGGCACACTGCTGCCCTCCCCAGTGGCACAGTTACAGAGCTGTTACCATCATTGTTGATCAAGGTGGAGGAAGAATCCATGAGGATGTTTTCAGGTCGGCTCTCTCCTTTGCTGCGATCCAGTCTGGACTCGCTGCCCATCCCAGACTGAATATCTTTCATGTTAAAGCTGGGGAAAAACCAAGATGGGGTGGATTGTAATTACAAATTCTAATCAGGATTTGCATCAGCAAGTGGAAAACCTTGACATAAAAATACTAGGATGGAATTAATTCAGTGATTTCAGTTACTTTCCTAAATGCAGGGGGGACTGGCTGCTAACTGTTAAAACCTCTTCATTTATCATTAAACAAAGCATTCACACTAAGTTTGGCACCTCAGGGAGATATACTACATCAGCACACATTCACTCAAATCATTAATCCCATCAAAATTCATTTAAATT